CTAATATCGATATAATTTTTGTCAAATTTTTATGATATCTTCAAACATATATTTTATTCAAAAATAAAAACATCATCGCTTTCTCAAAATCACATAAAGCCATATTATAACATCGACCGAGATAAAGAATAAAATGAAATATTAAAATCACGATGTATCTCGCTGCATTGCGCGAGTACGTTTCTAGTTATATTATAAAGCATTTGATAAAAACTCTTAAAAATGATTTTTTATGCAGGAAGTACTGTTTATTGATGCATATTACTTAAAATTTAAGATTACAAGTACATTGTGCATAAGTACAACTTATTAAAGCTTCATACTTGAATTCATCTAACTAACTGCAGATAAACATAATCAAATATTGGATAAACATCTTATTTTAAATATAAAAAATTTAAAATATAATTAGGATAATCATTGATAACTAACAGAATACTTAGTTATTATCTGTATAAAAAATTATATTATTAAACCTAAATTAAATTATAATTAAGAAAATTTAATTAAGAAAATTACATCAAAACACAAGAACTTTTAAAAAGATTAATTTAACACTGATATCGATATTTTTTTTCAAAATTTTATGATATTTTTAAATTTATATTTTATTCAAAAATAAAAACATTATCACTTTCTCAAAACCACATAAAACCAATGTTTACTTAAAATTCAAAATTACAAATAAATTGTGCAAAAGTACAACTTATTAAGTTTCGATGTTTGAATTTGTATAACTAATTGCAGATAAACATAATTAAATAGATTATAAACATCTTATTTTACAATATAAAAAAATTTAAAATATAATTAGGATAATTATCGAGTTATAACAAAATAATTAATTATCTTTATAAGAAAATTATATTATTAAATCAAATATAAATTACTTCGATATTATACCTAAATTAAATTATTATAAAAAAACTGAATTAAAAAATTACACAAAAAATAGGAGTTTTAAATAGTTAATTTGATACGAATATCGATATATTTTTGTTATTCATAAAGTACTGTATATTGATGGATATTACGTAAAATTCAAGATTACAAGTAAATTATGCATAGATACAACTTATTAAAGCTCGATGTTTGAATTCGTATAACTAATTGCGGATAAACATAATCAAATAGAGGATAAATATTTCATTTTAAAATATAAAAAATCTAAAATATAATTAGAATAATTATCGAGTTCTAACAAAATAAATAATTATTATCTTTATAAGAAAATTATATTATTAAACCCTTAAATTATAAAAAAATTGAATTGAAAAATTACACAAAAAATGAAGAATTTTAAATAGTTAATTTGATACTAATATCAATATATTTTTGTCAAAATTTTATGATATCTTCAAACTTATATTTTATTCAAAAATAAAAATATTATCGCTTTTTCAAAATCACATACAACCATATTATAATATCGACTGAGATAAAGAATAAAATGAAATATTAAAATCAAGATGTATCTCGCTACATTGTGCGAGTACCTTTCTAGTATTATATATATATATATATATATATAATATCGCTACATTGTGCGAGTACTTTTCTAGTATTATATATATATATATATATATAGAGAGAGAGAGAGAGAGACTTGAGATCATTTGAGACCAGCATGTTTTCGTGAGACCCGTGAGACCAGCATTTTACACGTAAACTTCACAGCAAAAATGCTGTGAAGGTGACTTTTTAAAACCTTCACAGTGTTTTTGTTGTGAAGGTTCGACTTTTTTTAAACTTTCACAGTGTTTTTGCTGTGAAGTTTACGTGTAAAATGTTGGTCTCACGGGTCTCACGAAAACAGGTTGGTCTCACGTGAACCCAACCCTATATATATATATATATATATATATATATATAATATATATATATATATATATATAAATTGAAAAAATTAAATGAATGTGATATACTTAAGATTTAAGAAGTATGGATAAGTTGTACCAAATAGTTGATAATGAAAAAAATTTATGAGTAGACTAGATTAAACAACATATTCAAGATTATTTAATATTTTGATGTACTAAAGTATCAGCCCGTACGATTTGATTTAAGTTGAGTTGGGTTGTACTTTGAGTTGTGTTGAGTTAGGTTGAGATTTTTCAAACTACAAGTATAAGAAAAACAATGATCTGGTTACGGTATAAAAGTGGAGTAGATTGGATTCATAACCAATTTAAAAAATAACTTGAATTGAGAACCGAACTGACTATTGACATTTTCCGGTACAATTTGGTTTGGGGCCCGAATTTTGTTTATGTAAGTTTGGGACGAGATTTCACATCGGAAGAGCAATCTATTCCTTGGCGTTATCACACATAAGGGTTCATTGTCTTTTGTTTGGTTATCAATAAAGTACTCTCGACACTCGCCATTTTATATTTATTGAAACGGCTCAATTTATATTTCAAATCGTTTTTCTTTTGAAATCTGCAAGGAAATTTGTGATTTTAGAAAAATATCTTAAAATGGTCGTTAATGGGTAAATATAAATATTTGTGATGAAATCTTACCAACGGAATGTTTCACTTTTCATACATCTTCTTATGAAGCAAGATGTCTCTGGTTCGATTTTGTTGGGGGTTATCGAACCTTAGTGTCAGATCATGCTAAATTTGTGCATCAATTCTGTATCTGGTTTCTAAAATCTGATTATTTTAGTCGTAAGAAGTTTAGAAAATGTCATAAGAACTGAAATTAACTCAAGGACTTATCTTATCCTTTCAAAGGCTGCTTTAGGTCAAATTTGTTGTTGATGAAGAAATCAAACCTGTATAACAAACCACTTGGGTTGTGGCACACTGGTTAAGCATTAGGGGGGTGTAATGGAAAATTTCATCTACCACAAGTTCGATTCTCGATGTTGCCAAAGCCCTTGTGGCCGTAGAGGTTCAGCTGCGATGGCTTCGGGTCATTCGTGGTCGTACGGGGGATCAGTCGGTACGTGTAAGCTGGTCTGGATACCCATGATTACCCTAAAAAAAACTTGTTAAACATGTTTTGTTTTATAAAAGAGTACTTGAATACACAACATTATGATAACGTGGTGCTACTGTTTGATGATAACAAACGTCATCTGAAAGAGGATATGAAATACATGACAAATGCACAAAAAAATTATAGCAGACGAAATGAACTCTCCTAATTACGAGTTGAAATATGCAAGAAAGGACGACTTACGGAAAAAATTGGATGAAGATAAAATGGTTGTATTTCATGGGTTTTAAGTTACATAACACCAATAAAATTTATACTGATGTATTTTTACCGTTAAAATAATATCAATTACCTCATTAACTCACTCAATTCACCAATTGAAAACACCGACAATTGTTTGCATATTTGCATCGTTGTCAACCATCGACACCACCGTTGCCTGGCGCTTTGCCACCACGACGACCATCTGATCATAACTGTGGGAATTTTTCTTCAAAATCACACTTTTCACCAAGGAAAGGATGAGTTGCATTGACGATGAAGAAAAGGTAACACGAAAATAGAACGATGCATTTTCCATACATTTTTCATAAAGCACATAATATCAAGAATGCAAATGGAAAGAAAAATGCATCAAAAATATAATGACAATAATTAACTGAATACGCATTTAATTCTTACGCATTTAATTCTTAGGGGGTGTTTGGGATTGCTTATTTAAAACAACTTATGCTTTTCTATAAAAGCACTTATCAACTTATTATAAGTCAGAAGAGTTTAACTTTTTCAAAAACTTCGTATTACCGGTTTGGCACCGGTATAAGTTGTTTATCCAAACACTCAAAAATGCTTATTACCGGTGTCACACCGAAATAAGTCAATAAATTGTTTTTATAAGCAATTCCAAACACCCTTTTAATATCGCGTTCCTATTTTACTTCGGTGAAAGAATATTCAGCCTACATGACAACTACTATCAATCTATACCAACCCATTACATATATGATTCAACATATTTATTTTGTTATCGTTGCATTAAATATGGTTGTTTTATTGTTTGGGTCAAATATATAATGGAGGTCTTCGATCGGCCTGACATGGCGGACAACACGACTGGTCCGGTGACCCGGCCCCGATCCGGGTACTTTCTACAGGTGGGCATATGATGTTCCCGTACCATTCATTGAGGATCGATGTGGCCCACGCCTTGACGTTTCTGTTTTGTGTTCCACCGAGTTTTATCAAAAACCTCGTCATCGTCCCGTCACTCATATCCAGCCGGTGACCATAATTTTTCAAATTGCCACTCAATCTCGTCATGTCTCAGGTTATTCTTTTTGTTTCCAGCTAATTTTTGTTTCTGGGTCTGATTGATGCTACCACATTTCCATGATCACGTCACATTTGGATCCGCTTTTATTTCTAAAATTTTTTGGGGACTTGATTTATTCATTTTTTGATTGTTTTTGTATTCTTGAATCTTGATTTACCGAAAGTGAATTGAATTTTGTTCCAGTTATGGGTTGTTTATGATTGTAATTTGGGTTTTTTTTGTTCGATAGGTGAATGAGAAAGATCCCTTGATCAATCCTGCCACAGCAACCGGTATGTTTTTCTTTATGTTCTATTTGATGTGATTGAATGTGGTTATTACTAGTTCAAGGATAATTATGAAAGATTGATTGATGGTTAAGTTAAGCCAGCTCGATTTTCAAATTGTTTTCATTGCAATGGAATATATAATTTGCTATTCTCTTTTGCTTTTTTTGTTGGCATTATATCAGTTGGCCAAGAAAGAGGGTTACCAAAAGGCCTTTGGCGAACCCGTGTTAACGGTAAAGCCCGGCCTCCCAGGAGCCCAAGGTTTCAAACATAAAGGTGAAGAGTGTGTGCGAGTTCATTTGTCGTGTATAAATATTATATTATGCTTCAAGGAGAGATAAAAAGAAAGAGGGTTCTTATTGTTGCCTTATTGGTTTTGGTGGATGCCGGGAGGGCATTCGGGGTTTCCTTTTATTATCTGAGTGCATATTGAGGGAGGAATCTATGTACATCCCATCCCTGATCCTACTTTCAAGTGAGATATACTATGTTCGTATGGTTTAGTTTTTTATATGAGGGAGGAAAAGGAAGAGGAGGCGGCGTTACCTTTGTAACAAAATTCCACCGCGAATGTTTGAGTGCCAACTCAACCGGTAAATGAAGGCTAAGCTTTGGGCTCCTCCTCATAGGCCGCCGGTTCGAGACTCCTCAGGGCCACTACGATTTTTCTGACTGTCATCTTGAGGGCTATTAGTTGAGGTGCCCGCCAGCCGATCCGGACACCCACAATTACCAAAAAAACATTCTGCTGCGAATTGGATTGAACAAAGGAGTGTCAAAAAGAGGTATTGCTGCCATTCCTTAAAAAAACAAAATAAAATTCAATCAGAGAAGTCTGCTAATAACATCTGATTGTTGTCACTTTCAGTTTGTTTGATGTAGGGCAATAAATTCCAAGTTAGTGGAAAACTTTCAAACTAGGGAAGAAAGAACCATGGTACCTCAGAATTCCTAGAATATCTTGAGCAATGCTTTCAAAACAATCGTGCAAAGTTGGAATACTATATTTGATACTATTACTAGTAATGATAATCATTTGTGTCCATTACCACAAAGAGACTTGCCATTCTATGCAACCGAGCACCCAATTAACAAACTTACAAAACAAGCAATGTGAGATGAAGTGTAATCAACTCCAAATACTCAAAACAGAAATAAACAAGCAAAGCTAAAAATCATGATTCGTGTTAGTTTTACCTTCACCATTTCTCTTAAATACTTGTATGATTGCCTAAGGATCTCAGTTTCAGGCTATTCCACTACTCCTGGCCTGCTTGCTGCTTTAGTTCAGTTGAATGCATCAATGTCATCTCTGTTCTGGGACAAATGCTTATATGTTACCACCTATGGCACAAGCATCAGGATGTTCCTATTCTTTTGAGAATGGGTCCATTTAACTTATAGGTCGGTTTCCTGTCTGAGAATTGGTAATTATGCCATTTTATCGAGGATGGTATTTAAATGAATTTTTCCTCTGCCAAGTGGGTGTTTGGACAGGTTATTTCTGTGCATGCAAGCACCTTTCAGTTGACTCCTTGACCTTTGTATATACTTGTTGCAGACGCTAGTTATTCAACTTGTGATTTTGATCTCTTGTTAATTATACGCAGTTGGGAGTTGGGTTCGCTTATTAAGTATATATATTTGGTTCACTTGTTGACACAATTATTAATTTGAAGGATTTCTGCATCTGGTTTGAAGGAATGGGAAGAGGAATTTTCTTACTTATTTATTCATAAATGTATTTGTTGTTTTCGTTAAGAAGAGGAAATGGATCCTATGAAATTGTCGTAAGAAGTTTTGATAGCACACATATTATAGTATTTGTATATGAGAACTGCATTAGTTGTTTGTTTAACCTCATAATTGAGGCCACTCTTAGCCAATCCAACTAAGATATTTCTCAAATTTTTAATTGAATTTAAAATTATTGAAATCTTTAATATTGGTTTTTACCCATATAGAATATGTAAAGATTTTCTATTATTTTGAAGCAGACTAGTTTATATAATGGACACTTGAGGTAGGCTTCATCAGTAGATCTTAATTTATCGTTATATCTGGAAGCATTTGATAGGAATTTGGTTTTTAAGCTTAACTGAATTAAGACAACTAACAAAACCAGGGTTTGAAGCTTTAATGAATGGACATAGACCTCACTAAAAATAGCATGATGGTGAAACAAAATTGAAAATAAAGTCCAGGATTTATTTTTCTAAATCTGCAGCAAGAGGTTTGTTTAAAAATATTTCTACCAAGCAACCTATTTTGCGTGAGGCAGAAAATATCTGATCACATCAAGATTTTGTTGTAGAGTATTTGGTTTGGGATAATGAAGATTTGCAAATTACGGTTGCGGTCTTTTGGCTTAGATTTCAAGAGTTGTTCCCTGCTAATAATTTCTTACCTATATGTTCTTTTATCAGAGGAGAAGGCTGATTCAACTATGAAGAAAACTTCCTCTGAATCAAGCTCCTCGGATGTGCAATCCGGAAAACTACCTGCAATGTCATCTGCACCTGGGGCTGGATTTCCTGCAAGTCCTTTCGACTTCTCATCTATGGCTAGCCTACTTAATGTAAACTACTTCCTTTCTTTCCTGCATGTTCTCCAAACTTACCTTGTGTTTTATGTACGTACACCTACATGAATAGACATATGGTTGCACAAACACGTGAATGCTTATTGTCTATTCAACATAATAGTTCTGGTAGCAGTACTACTCAGAAACAACCTCTCTGTCTCGTGGGACAGAGCCATACAGGTAAGGTATGCGTACATCTTACCCACCCTCACCCGACCTTCGGGTGGGATACATTGGGTCTGTTTGGTTAGTACTTTAAGAGTACTTCATCTGCATCAGTCACCCTTCAGGGAGGGTGTAACATCCCGTTCTCGGGGGTATCGTCCTTTGCCCTTAGTACAAGTGAATGAAAGAAACTTCATATCTTAAACTTTTATTTCATTATAATAGAGTTATTACAGCAGCGGAAATGCGGAAAATTACAACTTATAATATTCTAACATCTTAGAATAGCAACACTTCATCTTGTTCCTACTCCTTGATTCTTGAGATACATACATGAGATATATAAGCTATAAGCTTAATGAGTATTTATAGTTTCATGAATGAGAAATTTTCATGATATTTTGTAAATGATAATTTATAAAAGCTCTTGATCATGTATAAAAATATTCTTTATTCTCATGCATAAACATTCATAAAATACTATATTCTTTATCATGTATAGAACATTCTTTTGAGATCTTACTTGTCACATGCATGTATACCATACTTGTCTTGAGGTTTGCTAACCCCCGGGTCCATAAAAGGCTGCCCTATAAGGTTCGTTTGCAAAACGTTCCTTCTTGTAATATCCCGTACGTTGGATGTTATGGTTATACATAACATGTAAAAATTTTCATGCCTTATGTAACACGTATGATAACATGTAAATGATTTTCATGTCTTGTGTGTATATTTGTATGTCATCATGCATATCTTGAATATGCATGTGAATCAATATTTTCATGTAAAACAAAGCATGCCAACATAACTAGTAATGCATAAAATACTTCTATATATAGCATACATGTATCTCATAAATCACATAAGTACTCACCTTGATTTGCCTAGCTTTTCCCTTAATTCCTATCTTCAAGCTTGATTAGGTATAAAGAGAGAGATTTCTTATTTTTAGTATGGAACTAATGATAACACTTCAATCACTATTTATAGGTAAATTCATTGCATTAGCTACTTGTTCTTCTTGCTCCCAAAATTGTACTCTTATGATAGTTTAACACCTCATTTTTTTAGGATAAGAGAATCTTGACACCTCATGCTTAATATAAAAGAATCTTAACACCTCATGCTTCTAGCTTTTATTTGTCTTGCTTCTAGCTCTTGCTTGTCATTATGAATTTTGCCAAAACATGCTTCTATCCTTGACAACTCATAACTAGCTTGCTTTGTCATAAAGAGTAGGCTTGCTTTGTCATAAGATTTTGTGGCTCATGTTGTTTATTTATAAGTAGCTTTGCAAGCTACTTGCCTTATAAACATGATAGTTTAATAAATGCTACAGCTGTTGGACTCTTTTAAAAGTACTTAATTTGCTTACAAAATCTTGTATTTAAGGCTTAAACATTTAAATAAAAAAAACTAGGGTGTTACAGAGGGGTAGGGATAGGGTGATTATCATACTATGTATTGATGGATCTAGCAATATTGAAGAGCAAAAACATAGTGCCAACTTTTGAATGCATTGCAAGCATCTCAAACGTATAGACTGGTTTTGGATCTGATGTATATTCAAAGTTAGGATGAGTTTCATTGCATAATTCGTTTTTATCTTCAGAATACATGGTTAGATGGTTGTTGAACTATTGTCATATCCTTATATTTTGAAATATGGAACTAAACTTTACGGATCTCATGATTCAGTTGACCATACCTTTTTCTGAATTTTTTTGTTCTTACGGTTATCTTAGATAATGGCTAATAAGCTCATTTTTTTAATTTCATTTGGTAGCCATCCACTTCTTTAATTTGGAACAAATAAGTTATAAAGACCAAATAGTAGTATTATCAAGTTGATGCAAACTTTAAGATAAAATTCACATCATATAAATATTGTGAAACATGAAACCGTTTTATAATATATCTATTTATTATGTGCTATCTTTTTACCCTAATGTATATTGTTCAGCTCAACTATTTATTAAAGTGTTGGATGAGTTAGTAATTTGACATAGTATGAGAAATCTAATCTTATGAAATCTGAAGTTCAGGTTTTGCTGGTACGTATTTCCGTAAGCAATTTCATGTTTATTTTATCAAGTTGACGCTCTTCTCAGAAACAGTTACTTTGTCTTTTGGGACCGAGGGGACAAGGGTAAGGTCCCCGTACATCTTACCCCCTCCCCCAACCCTACTTCATGGGTGTGATATTTTGGGTTTGTTTGGTTTGTGCCCCCAGTCTCACATTGGGTTGCATGATGGAGAGTCTTTTATGCATGATCTACATTACTGGTTAAATAATCAACTGTTTAACAATGCAAGGGCAAGAGAGAGGGAGGGAGGGAGAAGGGGTAGGGGTACTTCAACAAACACACAGTTTAATGTTATTGTCGACGTATTGAGGGGAAGTGAAGCGTGCTCTTAGGAAGATGGGTAAGGGTAAGGGTAAGGCCGTAGGCCCAATTGCTCAAACCAAATCCCATTTGCGATGTGGCTTTTTCTTGGGGAGGCGGGTGTGCAATGGCTGACAAAGCTCTACAAGGCTATCCTCAAGACTGCTAGGATGCCCGAAGGGTGGAGGCTTAGCTTGGTGATACCGCTCTATAAGAACAAAGGTGACACTTAGTGTTGTTGCAACTATTGCAGCATAAAGCTACTTAGCCAGACGATGAAATTGTGGCAGCGGGCGATGGAGACCAGGATGAGGCATGAAAAGAAGGTGACGGAAAACCAATTTGGCTTCATGCCAGGGCCCAGGGAGGTTGACGATAGAGGCGATCCATCTGTTCAGGCGATTGATTGAGAAGCATAAGGAGCGTAGTAAGGACCTTCACATGGTGTTCATAGACCTAGAGAAGGCCTATGATTGTGTACCATGAGATGTGATTTGGAGAAGCCCGGAGAAGAGGGGAGTACCTTGGAGGTATGTTAGGGAGATAGAAGACATGTATGAGTTAGGACCCCAATGGAGGAGACATTTTTCCCCGTAGAGACAGGCCTTCATCAGGGATCTGCGCTAAGCCCTTTTCTGTTTTCTGTTATTTTGGATGAGATCTCCGGGGAAACCTAGAGTGTCCCATGATGTATGTTATTCGCTGACAATATTGTGTTAGTTGCAGAGTCGAAAAGTTATGGTCAACAAGAGGTTAGAGCAGCGGAGAGCGACCTTGGGAATTCAATGGTTTATGGATATTCATTCTAAAACAGAATACATGTGGTGCAATTTCAGGGGGGAGCATATTGAGGAGGGCGTAACGTGTCGCATAAAAGCAGGGTGGCTAAAGTGGAGAGCTGCCACATGAGTGCTGTGTGACAAGAAGGTTCCACTAAAATCAAAGGGCAAGTTTTATGGAGTAGCCATCCGACCAGCTATGCTGTATGGGTCGAAATGTTGGCCGACAAGGAAAGTCGTTGAGAGGAAGTTGGAAGTTATAAAAATGTGGACGCTTAGGTGGATATGTGGTCGGGCCATGCTTGACAAAATTATGAATGAGGTTTTCCAGGCAAAATTGGGAGTTGCCCCAATATCAGGTTTAGGTGAGAGAGGGGAGATTGCATTGGTTTGTTCACGTTTGTAGGAGACCGATGACGGCACCTGTAAGGAGAGTACAATAAGTGACGTAGAGGGTGCGAGGAGGAGAGGAAGGCCGAGGAGGGCGTGGGATGAGCAATTGAGGTTGGATATGGCGGCCTTAGATGTTCCCGAGGACAGTGACCTCTGATAGGAATACTTGGTGACAGAATACTAGGTTAGCAAACTAGGTATGAGGGGATAGGTAGCTAGCCTAGTTGGACAGAAGAAAGTTGGGTTTGGGAGGAGGGGTGGAGGGATGGAAGTTTAGGCTAGGTTTGTGCTTTTGCCCTTCTTGCTATGTGTGGGTTTTGCCTTACCTTACCTTTCATATGGGCCATTGTACCTATTAGTTACTTTGTCTTTCTTATTTATCACATGCTTCATACACCATATGCTAATCTTTATTCTTAATACCTATATGCTCACTCTTGCACAAGCCGGAGGTCTTCACGGAAACAAACGCTCTACTCTTTAGGTAGAGGTCAGATCTGCCTACATCTCACCCCTCCCAGACTCTACTTAGTGGGAACTACTGGGTTTGTTTGGTTTGGTTTGGTTTGGTTTGGTTTGGTCACTTGCACATTATATTTTCTTCATGTTTACAGGACCCAAGTGTCAAAGAATTAGCTGAACAAATAGCAAAAGATCCTTCATTCAACCAGATGGCAGCACAACTCCAGAAGACCTTTCATGGTCCTGAAGTGGGCGCCACCCAGTTTGATTCACAACAGTATTATTCCACCATGCAGCAGGTTATGCAAAACCCGCAATTCATGACCATGGCTGAGCGCCTTGGTAATGCCTTGATGCAGGTATTTAGTTTCTGACACATGTTTTATGCTGGTGTTCCATGAATACGGTGGAATTGACGATCAAAATTGTCTATATGTGATAGGATCCATCAATGTCTCATATGCTTCAGAATTTATCTAATCCAGCTCAAAAAGATCAGCTTGAGGAACGAATGGCACGTATCAAGGAAGATCCGTCCTTGAGACCTATTTTAGAAGAGATACAATCTGGAGGTCCAACTGCAATGATGAGGTGTATAATCTTGATTTGATATACAGACATAGGGGAAAGTTCATTACAGTGAGAACTAACTATTCAGGATGAATATACCTAAATATTCATGACCATCATTCATCATGAAATGTCATGCATTTTCATTATTCGCGATATTCATCATGAATATAATTCATGGGTTGGTTCTCAAAGTACGTATGGTTCTCAAATGAACCTGCCCCTACAAACATATTTGTAATTAATTCTATTTGGTATAGATGTTGATTAGAGCCAACATCCTCTTGGTAACCAGTTCCGTTCTCCCACAAAATTAGGTACTGGAATGATAAAGAAGTTCTACAAAAGTTGGGTGAAGCAATGGGTGTTGCAGTCCCGGCAGATGCAGCCTCTTTAGCTGGATATTCAGGTGCAGATGAGGGTGAAGGAGTAAATGAGGACGAGTCTGTTGTTCATCATACTGCTAGTGTTGGTGATGTGGAGGTACTTGAGTTTTTAACTACCTTTTCTCTATATGATCATGGTTCAAAGGATATTTAACATAAATGAAGGAAACCCTAACTATACAGCTAATTCTAACATAATAAGATTCTTGCTAAACCCAAATTGCAACCGAACTCGAATAAGTTGAAGAACAAATGTGGTTTAGTACTACCTTGATATGGGAAATACACCTTCCAAAGTGAAAATCATGATAAAAGTTAAAAAGAAAACATGATTCAAATTAGCAAACAAACTTGATTTTCAAAAACGTACAAGTTCACTCTTGTCCCATATTTGGATTACTCATAAACTGAAGTCTGGAACAACCAACAGCTTACCACTAACCCAGGTAAGATGTCAAAAAACAGAATCTAAAGTAGGAAGGAAAAGAGGAAATCAAACTAAGAAACAAGTCAAGCATGCAGATGACCAAACAAATGAAATACATTCAAAGACCAAGCCAAGTATCAGAAGCAAGGAAAAACATAGGAGTTCACTTATCGAACCATGGTCAGCCAACTCACAGTTGACCCTCTAAGGAGGCCATCCAACCAGTCAAAGCAAACTAAGTGAACCCATTTAGGGTGCGTTTGGTGCGCAGACAGGACAGGACAGGACAGGGTAGGACAGGACAGGACAGGACAGGACAGGAGAGGAGTTCAGCGTTTGGTAAGACAGGACAGGACAGGACAGAACTGGTTAAAATGACCAATTTACCCCCAATGAGCAATCAGAAACAACAAACATGAATAAAAAACAACAAACATGAATAAAAACAGCAAACAAAATCAGAAACATGAATCAAAACAACAAACATGAATCAAAAACAGCAAACATGAATCAAAAACAGCAAACATGAATCAAAAACAACAAACATGAATCAAAAACAGTAGCAAACAAAATCAGAAACATGAATCAAAAACCAGCAAACAAAATGAATCAGGTGCTGTTTTAGCAGATATGAACAACTACAAGATGCATCAGATTTCATCAAACCCAGCTCACGAATTCAAGAAAACAGCGAATACAGTCATCAATTAGTTGAAATTGCAAGAAACCCACTTGATGAAATCTAGAACGAAAGCTTATGTTGCAAATTCAAAAATACCTAGAATGGAAATACGTAGCCTTCATAAACCTATAATTAACAATCTCAGAAAACCCAAACCAGTCCTTTGCACCATTGTACTCGAGAAGAGAAGGCGATAATGCGTACCTGAGTATGGAGAGAAGAGAAGAACAGTCGGTCGCCGTCGATTGGAACTCGCCGTCGAGATGAGATGGTCGCCGTCGATTGGAACTCGCCGGCAAGCAACAGTCGGTCGCCATCGATGGGGTTGAAAACCTAGGGCTTTTTTTGACAGATTGAAGCTAGAGGAATAACGAGAAGACCTGACGGGAGGAAGGGGAACGATTGTGAAGGGGAACGATTGTGAAGGGGAACGATTGACAGATTGTGGAGGCGACGTTGTGAAGGAGAACGATTGGGAACGATGATGAAGGTTTTGAGAGGGTAGGAAGGTAAATTATTTMTTGTTCCAGTTAGTTCCATGGGGGAAGGGTGGACTAACTTGTCCCACGCGTGTTCCACCTTGTTCCACTTAGTCCCACATAAAACCACACCAAACATGGGACAAATGTGTTCTGTCCTGTTCTGTTCCACCTTGTTCTGCCTACCAAACGCACCCTTATAAGGTTGCTCAATCTTGATGGGCTTCACATGAGAATTCCTCAACACCAGGATCGGGATTGATACCAAAAGGACAGGCAACAAAAAGAAGCTTTCATGAGATGAGGTGGCACAACCACCATAGGAGATAATGGCTAGAGGTGGTCGGCATACAAGTACAAGTTGGATTCAGAGGCCAAGGCTTTGGAAATCGATCAGGATTTAAGGATGGTGATCCTTGGGAGGCTGTGACAGATGGTCAATGAAGAGCCGTGAGGGATATGCCGAGGCTCAAATAGTCTTGTTCTTTTAGCATTTTATCTACTACAATCCTGAAGTTTCTGTCTCAGTTTTACCAATGACAGACACTTACTTTGGGATGTATTGATATTCTGCAAGAGATTCCACTACGTCATCACCTAGGCAACAAACCAAAATGGTAGACATTCTACCTTGTTGCTCGTGATGTTTAGAAAAGTTTTTTGTTTCCTTAGTTTCAGTATGTTTCATGATGCCTTTTCCGCTGCTTTATTCCTTCCATTTTGCTCACATTGTTGCACAAGCCAGGGGTCTTCACGGGAACAACCACCCTATCATTTGGGGGTAGAGGTCAGGTCTAGGTACATCCCACCCCGAAACCATGGTCTCAAGTATTGGGATTGTTTAGTTTTAGATTTTTGTCACCTTAAACTGGAAAATGTGTGAATCATTTTCTTTGAGTTGCCTTCCAATGATGTTGAGCAACTACATACCCGTAAATCATAAGTATTGATGAAATTTCACTAAAAAATGCATGTGGTCGTTTTCTATCGTGCAAATTTACATCAACCACCAACATTTTCCATAATTAAAGTAATGCACATTCTCTCTCCTCACAATCACATTCTCTATGTTCAGAAAAAGGTAAATATGTGCTGTAGATTTACTCTTTATGTTATATCCATCAGGTATGAAGTGAACCGCTTCACACCATTTTACAGTTTCTATTTCTAAAACTAATTGATTTTCTTGTTCAACTAGGGTTTGAAGAAAGCATTAGAAGCCAATTCTGATAAAGATGAAGAAGATTCAGAGGGGAGGACTGCCTTACATTTTGCATGTGGATATGGAGAGGTAAGATTGATTGGAGAAATGCATAGTTATTACACTTTTTTTTAACTAAATTACAATTTTACCCGTAATAACAGAGAGAGTAATGAATTTATCCATCTCTGTAGAATTGGAAAGTAGACATTTTTTAAAACAGGATACTTATTTTAAGACGAAGGGTATACTTGACTGTATCAATGCGGGTCCATATGATTCATTTGTTTTGTTTTTCTTGAAGGGTATTTTATGTATTTTAAAGATGGTAAAACTATGTTTGTTTTCTTTAAGTATATAATATTTATATATGGAGAATAAACTCACACCCCCTCCTCACATTTGATGAGGTTTGAACCTCCAGACCTCCTAGGAGGACGAAGGTCCAGATACCCTTTGGTAAAAACTATGTTTGTTATACGATCAGTAATGCATTTATGTGATATAAAGGTGAAATGTGCTCAAATCCTCCTGGAGGCTGGAGCAAAAGTTGATGCTTTAGATAAGAACAAGAACACGGCCCTTCATTACGCGGCTGGTTATGGCAGGAAAGACTGCGTGGCCCTTTTGCTCGAAAATGGTGCAGCCGTGTAAGCTTATTTATTTATTTATTTATGATCTCCTGCTCCTTAATCGGACCTACATTTTTCGTGTTCTGTTTCAAGTTATGATTTAGGATTTCCTGCTGCTGCAGTACTCTTCAGAACATGGATGGTAAGACACCGATTGATGTTGCCAAACTCAACGACCAAAACGATGTACTGAAGCTGCTCGAGAAGGATGCATTCCTATGAGTTTTATGGATGGTTTTGTTGGTAGATCGATGCTTGATAATATTTATATAATGTTTGTGTTTGGTTTAACGACTACAATTATTTTATTCAAATTCTTGTTTTCTTATGTTATAATTTCTGCTTCTTTCTAACAAAGTTGCATTTCTGTAATAGGTCAAGAATGTTTTAATTACAACCGTTTTGGTATAATTGGTTGATTTTGAAAAATCAGATTTTGGGATTTGATGTGTCAGAAAAATGGACTTGGCCCTGGGGTTGTTTATCCAAATGCTTATCTGGTAAGTGATTATCAGTAAATATCAACACTCCATTACCTTACCGGATAAGATTCTAATCCATTAAAATGGCTTATATAAGCCTTGCGGAATGAACACGTCTCTTTGATTCTAAATAGTTTTTTCAAACATCCCTCCATATCATTCAAGTTGATGTGACATGTTGGCTTATTTCTAAGTCCAATCCACTTTAACACATGTGTAGGTGATTAGATTGTCTACGGATTGTTTTGGTAATATAACATCAATTGAATGATTGGGAACAGTTGTCGTTAATAAATAACTTCCACCGTTATGTTGCTTTTATCACTACCTAAGCGACTCTTGGTACACAAATGGTTTATTACCCCATGGGTCATACCCGAAATACAAGATATTAAAGGATTTGTGAAGGTACTTGCTTACGGAATATACTATCTTCAAAACCGTATAACACCTCTAAGCCATCCTATCAGAACCTCTACAAAGCTCCATATACCACTCAGATCCCTCTAAGACCTTATATACATGTCGAAGAAAAAGTGTTAGGTTTAATGCCTGGTGTGTTAAAGCAGTTTTATCATATAAATATAAAACAGTTAAATTGACAGTTTCCTTTAAATATGGCTCTTTTATTTAAATCATAAATCAAAATGGAACATCTTCCCCAAGCCTATTATTTTATGTGTTTTAGTTTGATAAAAAACATCCAACTCACCCAAAAACATAAAATATATAGATAATAATCCATATCCAAAACACCGAAAGCATAGGTAACAGAGTACTTAAAAGCAACATCTTTCGGTGACGGGGAGACTCGATTACATCAAATGTGGCAGGAACACAAAACTAAGCCACTTATCGACATTCTCGAGTTTCATCTCGGGCCACAAATCCCCCTATAAGACTCCATTGAGTACTATTATAAGATTCCCAAAATGACCTAGTATGTAACACCCGAAATTTCTCCCCATTTTCTATTCTGTTCGCAACCGAAATTTGCGTCCCGTCATTGAGGTATTATATTCTCGCCCATCTTTAAAATTTTTGGAACATTTCTATTAGCCTACCTTGTAAAATATATGTATATTATATACATACATATATATATATATAAATATATAGGTACTTAAATAAGAGTAGGTTGTTGCAAACTAAGTTTTATATATATATATATATATATATATATATATATATATATATATATATTTAAATTTTATTATCAATGGTTCCTTGCTAAAAAGGAAGTCTTGATTTGAAAGAGGGGGAGGGGGGAAAGTACCTCTCATCTCACATCCCTACCCTAGTCCTACCCTCTTGTACTTTTAATAAAAAAAAAAGGAAAAAAAAGGAAGATTTGTTAAAGGAAGAATCATAGCAACAACAACTAGTGGAAGAATAAAAAAAATAAGGAAAAGAAAGAAGATTTGTTAAAGGAAGAATCAT